GGAGCGCCGCCGCGCTCCCAAGCGGCGCACTGTAGCAGTGCGCCACCGGGCCGGTCCCAACAATTGAATTTTTGACCTATTCTATTCACTAATGCAAAAATCCCTTGTGGGTGACACTTACGGGTTAAGATATGTAGAAATGGGAACTCTCATCCAGCACCTGTCCAGCCTCTATGGGGAGAAGTTACTGACACCCGCCGAGGTGCACACATCTTCCTGTCCCGATTCTGCTGTAGGTAACCCATGCACGTGCAAAATGAGGCACAGGTACAAGGTTGCTCACTGCAGAACTATTTGTAATAGTAAAAACTGGACCCAACCTACGTGCTCATCAACAGGTTGAGGAATAAGTGGCAGAAACATGCAGTGAAGTGTCAGGCAGCTCTGTGGTCTGCGTGAGGCAGGGTTAAACCAGAAATGCACGCTGTCAGCGAAGCACAACATAGCTAACCATGCTGCGGGGCCCTGACCAGTCTCAGGAAACTTAAAATGGTTGAAACCATAGAATATGTTCTCTGACCATAATGGAATTAAAGTAGAGACCAATAATAAAACGACAGGGCCAGCCCATGGCTCACTGGGGAGAGCGCGGTGCTGACAACACCAAGGCCACGGGTTCAGATCCCGTATAGGGAAGAGAAATTAGTCACATAACAGGTCACAAGGAAAATTAGAAAATATTCTGAACTGCATGATAATAAAAACATACATACAGAAAAAGTGAGGAGGAAACATGCAAATCACAACTTGTGGGATATAACTAAGGCAATGATTTGAGGGAAACTTATGGTTTTCAATGAATATGTTAGAAAAAAAGACTTAAGATCAATGACCTAAGCTTTCACCTCAAGAAGCTAGAAAAAGACAATCAGATAAAATCCAAAGCAAGTGGAAGGAAAGAAATTAAGAGCAGAAACCCACAAACTAGTAAACAGACAATCAATACAGAAAACCAACGAAGCCCAAAGTTGGTTCTGAAAAGCCTGATAAATTAATAATTAATTAATAATGTTAATTTTATTAATAAAATCAATAAGATTAATAAAATTGATAAACCCCTAGGAAGACTGACCCAGAAAACACAAACTCTCAAAAACCAGAAGGAAAGAGGGGACATCACTACAGATCTTACAGGCATGAAAAGGGAAATAGTCACCAAAAACCTTCCCACAAAGAAAACTCTGTACTCAGATGGCTTCACTGGTGAATCCTAACAGATATTCAAGGAAGAAATAATAACAAGTTTTCACAAACTTTCTCTGAAACAGAGGAGGAGGAGACACTTGTCCACCTGTTTCATAAGGCCAGCGTAACCCTGACACCAAAACCTGTCAAGAGCATTATAAGAGAAGAAAATTACAGACCAACATCTCTAATGGACATCGATGAAAAAAGGCCTTAACAAAATGTAGCAGCTTAGTCCATCAACACATAAAAACGGGGAGACACCATGAATACCTGAGGATTATCCAAGGAATGCGAGGTTGATTCAACATTCAAAAAAATCAATCAGTGTGATTCACTACATTAACAGCAGTGAATAAATCTCAGTGGAGTCAGAAAAAGCATTTGACACAATTCAACACCCTTCATGATAAAAACTCAGCAGACAAAGAATGGGAAAGAACTTCCTCCCTCCAGGAAAGGGTGTCTAGGAACAGGCGCAGCACACAAACACTGGCTGCTCTCTCCTCCAACTGAACACGGGGTCGGGGTCCACTCTCATCCCTTCACTCGTCATTGTACTGGTGGCCCTGACCAGGACAGTGGTGCAGGAAAATAAGCAAGCAGTGTAAAAATAAGCAGCAAAAAACCATCTTTATTTTCAGACAATATGATTGCATACATGGAAGACCCAGTGGGTCT